AACACATAGTACATTTACATATACGCACGTATGTATAGTTACACATGTGTAAAATTACTTACGTTAGTAAATGTTGTGCATGTGAACAATTACCCCCAGACACCAGCAATGCCAAATGGGAACCTAATTATACCTTTTATTATACCTGTAATAAAATCATTAACCGAGCGTCAAGTGAATGACGACAAATACACAGGTGTAGGGTTGGTAACCTCCCAAAACCCCTACATCCCATTTCCCCTACAGCTTAAGACAACAAATTCACGGTCCATGGCACTGCTAAACCCTAGTCTGTTACCTATTTCATACAATGGAACAACCCAATACGATATTATTCAAAATGCATTATACATTATAATAATATGTTCATTTTTCCAAATTTATAATACATTATAATAAAATGTTCATTTTTCAAAATTCATAATACATTATAACAAAATGTTCATAATATATTATAATAAATTTCAGTCTTCCTCTACATGTGGACTTGACACACTTCCAGTGTACGCAAGTCAGCCTCTCGATGTTCTTAGTGAGAAGATAACCATCAAATAGGACTTGGGGCTTTCCTCTCTGTGACATAACAAACTCAACATTGCGGAAGTTAGTTACTTACTTTGGAGATTTAACGTGCGCTTTTCGACTGATGCGTATTTCGCACACGGATAATGTTAGTCTTACTGATATAGAAGTTTTAACGTGCGCTTTCCGACTGTAGCGTATTTCGCACATGTTAGTAAATTACTTTGGAGATTTAACGTGCGCTTTCCGACTGTAGCGTATTTCGCACACGGATAATGTTAGTCTTACTGATATAGAAGTTTTAACGTGCGCTTTCCGACTGTAGCGTATTTCGTACATGTTAGTTACTTACTTTGGAGATTTAACGTGCGCTTTCCGACTGATGCGTATTTCGCACGCGGGCCCTGCCAGGCCATTTAATGTGTTTCCGAAAGGGGTGATAGTGGTGTGTGCAACCCAAGAGGGGGCTTTAGGGGTTGCTTATATAGAATTTGGGAATTTTGAGATTTGGAAAAGATGCCGATGGGGTTGGGGAGTAGAACTAAGGGAGCTGGGTATGGTGGATGTTTGTTTGTTTGTTTATGTAGGTTTATGGACTCCGAAACCTGTGTGTTTGGAGGTCGGATCTGAAGATCCGTCCGTGTAAATGTGACACCAATTTGGCCAATTTTCGTGTATGTATGCTAGTGTGGTAGTTTTAGCTATGTTTGGGTCGGTTTGTTTATTTATTTGGCTAGCTAGTGTTGTGTCTGTTTTGGGTATTTTAAGTTTAGGGGTGAAGATATTTGATTGTTTGCAGTTTTGTTTAAGATTTTTAGTTTGGTGTTCATTTAGGTAGTTTGTTATTCACATGTTAGTCAGTTTCAAGTATCAATATACGAAACCTAGCCATCTCAACTGTAAATCGTCTCATCTCAGTTTAAAAATTGTCTTCTCATCATACAGGCATCTTTCATTACACTTACATTAATTCTTTTCTTTTTTTAAAACTTTCCTTTTAGTCCCCTAATCCCCTAAAGCTCTACCCCTTTCATTTCTACTACCTCGACTCCAGACCTTAATCTCTCCTTTAGGTGAGTTCATAATGCCAGACAGGTAAATGCCACGTGTTGTTTTAACTAATTGTAGGGGAACTGGGTTGTAGGGGAAATGGGATGTAGGGGTTTTGGGAGATAACCGTAGGGTTATACCATGATACATGGATGACAAGGGAGTAGAAATTGTTGTATTGTATGCAATTTAGTTGCCACAAAAAAAGGTGGTCGCTGCTTAAAGTGTATTAACTAAACTTCCTGGTTGCAAAAGTAACACGTACACGTATTTTCTGCATACTCAAGTACATAATTGTACACACACATTTACTTTAATGGTTTGTTTTTATTATGCCCCGCCCAAATGAAGTTTTACAGATGTAGAAACGTGGTCCGTCCGTCACGTTTCGTTTCCGATGGAAAACTCATAAACTCATGAACCCATAAACTCATGAACCCATAAACTCATGAACCCTGTCTCTTGTCACGGGGTCCTTGAGATGGTGCCTACTGCTTGTTTTTACAAGTGAGTTTAATAGGCTTCATTAGACCGATTTCTAACTTTAGTTAAAACTATGTACAGTAATATTAAATCAATGGTACAATCAAATAATGCAGAATCGGAGTACTTCCCTTGTCAATCAGGGGTTAGACAGGGCGAAAATCTATCACCACTGCTATTTTCAATATTTTCAAATGATCTTGAATCGTATCTTACAAAACAAGGATGCCAAGGGATCTCATTTGATTGTATATCAGAAAATGACATCACAGTATGGTTAAATATTTCAGTATTACTCTACGCAGACGCTACAGTCCTATTTAGCGATACCAAATCTGGATTGCAAACATCGTTAGATTCCTTTATTCAATATTGGTTACAATGGAAGCTGAACGTAAATATCTCAAAAACAAAAATAATAATCTTTGGAGGGGGTCCAGCCAAATCAACCAAATCAATATTTCATTTTGGGGGAAAGATACTAGAGATTGTTGATAATTATACATATTTAGGTATAAATCTTCACAGAAATAGACAACTTGTGTTTTGTATGAAATCACTAAGAGCAAACGCGACAAAAACAATGTACTGCCTAATAAAAATAGCACGAAATGTTAACCTACCATTAGATTGTTTATTGAAGGCGTTAGACGTGATGGTAGTGCCAATCCTTCACCACTGCTCCGAAATATGGGGTTTAGAAAATTTAGAAATGATAGAGAAAATGCAATTGATTTTTTTTAAATAGTAACTGGTCTGAGAAATTCAACACCCAATTTTATGGTTTACGGGGAACTTGGCAGGGAAGCCCTCAAAATTAAAGTATTTAAACGGATGATTTCCTTCTGGTGAGTGAGTAAGTGAGTATGGTTTTACGTCGCTTTTAGCAATATACCAGCAATATCAAGCTTCACACATTGTACCCATGTCGGGAATAGAACCCGGGTCTTCGGCGTAACGAGCAAACGCTTTAACCACTTGGCTACCCGACCGCCCCGACTTCCTTCTGGCATAAACTAACGAATTATAACGGACCCACAAAGTTATATAATATTTTATATAATTATTTGATAAGAGACTATGATGCAAACGCAAAATCGTTTAAGTGGATAGCTACAGTAAAAAAATACCAAATGATGTCGGACTGTCAGAAGTATTCGTAAACCCGTCTATTTGCTCTACTTCATGGCTGGTTTCAAAGGTCGAGAGAACTCTTAAAGACCAATTTATTCAACAGTGACGAGAATGTATCTTATCATGTTCAAAAGGTTTATGCTACCAACATTCAAAAGAATTACCAAAATTCGAAATATTTCTATCACTTCCCAAAACTATCTACTTGCCAATTTTACTATTTCACACATCCAATTATCATTTGCCCATTGTCACGATATGGCTGAAATATTGCCGATGTGACTTTAAATATTAACTCACTAACTTAATTTGCCCATTGAAACCGGCCGATGGAGAGGGCTACTGAGAGAAGCCCGTGTCTGCACACTATGCAATTCATCTGCTGTTATAGACGAATTTCACTATCTTTTTAGGTGTGAAGCACTTCTCAAACAACACCTCCTTTACATCCCAAAAATTGTTATATCTGGCCAAATATGTGTAAATTGCGTAAAACGTTATCACCTAAAAATATATCCACTTTGAAACATCTGTTCAGATTCATCGTACATTTGAACACATTATTAAGTAAAGGTGTCTAATTTTATTTTATTTTATTATTATCATTATTTTTATTTCTTTTATTCAGGCTTGTTACCATCCTGATCTGCATTGTATATTATATATATACCGTTGGTGGTTTTTCAGAGAAATAAAACTGAACTGACTGTTAACATAACCAGTTTGTTTTCGCATGTGCCAATTAAAAGAAAACTGTAATCCCTTTGAAGTGTGAAAGTAAATTGTAATCCCTTTGAAATGTGTGTAATACATATTTCATTGTTTCACAGTTTGTTGTCTCTGATATGTCCACTGAGTAGATCCGTTGAGTCTCATAGCTAATTTCATCCGAGTATAAAGCAATAATATATCAAGAATAAACACTGATTTGTATACATATTGTTTGCTTTTGTACCAGTTGTCAGACAGTTGTTGACGACGGGACTAGTCTATTCGGATTTGAGGAATTATATCACCCACCTGATGTGCCCCTGTCACGAAATATATTCGCCCCCAGAAAAAAAAATCACCCCGAATGTTTGCGAGGAATAATAAGATTTCTGAATTCAGTTACAACAGTAACCGTACATGTATTTGTTACATTAAGTCATTTCATTCAAATTTGTTTGGTATGATATATGTCTTATAATTATTTTAGGATGGAAGGTACAGTTACCAAATAAAATATGCTGAAATATCAATTCATTATGACCATATTTCATAATCTATTCTTTAAAGTAACCCTCCTTACATTAAAGATAACTATTTAAAGAATATAGTACTTAAAGACATTGCAACAAACCGAATAATCAGGGGGAGAGTTTATACTGAGGGGGGCGCGAAATATATCCGCCCGGGGGCGATTTTATTTCAGAGCAGATTCTCCGGGGGAGAATCTGTACCGGTATAAAATCTCCGGGGGCGAATTTGTACGGGGGAAATTTATACCGGGACACCCCCAACCATAAAAGTTGGGGTGTCTGACAAATGGGAAATGACCCTTGTCAAGTTCAGTTGCGTTAGCGACCAAATCGACTCACGGCATCTAATGAACACAAGCGGGAGTGGTAGATAGTTACGTAGAAGCCAGAGTCTAGTCCCCCTTTAAAACAACAGGCCCTAATTGCTCTGGTTGCTTTACATACCTCAGTTCAATCAACCGTTGAATGGATTGTTGATGAGGCCGTGTCCTTATGAACGGAAATGTTACTTCTACGACAGAAAGTCAAGTCACAACTCACACAGTCATACAGCAAATACACGAAGAAGTATTCAATTCCAATTGTTTATTGCCCTCGTGTGTCCACAGAATACTTTCTACGTCAACATAAACAATTCATCAGGCTGATCGGGTTGTTGTCAAAAACAAATAGATTTATAAAAGTTATAGTAAGAAATATGTGGGCAAAGGTTACATAGTCATCAAGTTCGTTAAACATTATTCTCTAAAACATTTAGAAGCACTTCCTGTGCACAACGGATGGGCCGGACTCATCGTACTCCTGCTTGCTGATCCACATCTGCTGGAAGGTGGACAGAGAGGCAAGGATGGAGCCACCGATCCAGACGGAGTATTTCCTCTCTGGGGGAGCGATGATCTTGATCTTCATTGTGCTTGGGGCAAGGGATGTGATCTCCTTCTGCATTCTGTCGGCGATACCAGGGAACATGGTGGTACCTCCTGAGAGAACAGTGTTGGCGTACAAGTCCTTACGGATATCAACATCGCACCTCATAATGGAGTTGAATGTGGTTTCGTGAATACCAACTGTTTCCATACCCAAGAAGGAAGGCTGGAAGAGGGCCTCTGGACAACGGAACCTCTCGTTACCAATGGTGATGACTTGGCCATCGGGCAACTCATAGCTCTTCTCCAGGGAGGAAGATGATGAGGCAGTTGCCATTTCCTGCTCGAAGTCAAGGGCGATGTAGCACAGTTTCTCCTTGATGTCTCTGACGATTTCTCTCTCAGCAGTGGTGGTGAAGGAGTATCCACGTTCAGTGAGGATCTTCATGAGGTAATCAGTCAGGTCACGGCCAGCAAGATCCAATCTCATGATGGCGTGGGGAAGGGCATAACCTTCATAGATGGGGACAGTGTGGGTGACACCATCACCAGAGTCCAGAACAATACCCGTGGTACGACCAGAAGCGTACAAAGACAGAACAGCCTGGATGGCCACATACATAGCTGGAGAGTTGAAGGTCTCGAACATGATCTGGGTCATCTTTTCACGGTTGGCCTTTGGGTTGAGGGGAGCCTCTGTCAGGAGGACAGGGTGCTCCTCTGGAGCCACTCGGAGTTCGTTGTAGAAGGTGTGATGCCAGATTTTCTCCATGTCGTCCCAATTGGTGACGATACCATGCTCGATAGGGTACTTGAGAGTGAGGATGCCTCTCTTGGACTGAGCCTCGTCACCGACATAGCTGTCTTTCTGACCCATACCGACCATCACACCCTGAAACATGAAATCATTTGTCATTTTCATAATTATTTACGTGTGTTATTTCACCGAGACATAATGCAAGCAAGACGAGTGCGATCTTCTGGCAGCTTTTCTTATATTTTAAGTATCAGGTTACCATGTTACAAAACTTACAGTTTTAAGTCTTGAACCTCTTTGTTTCCATATTAACAATTTACAGTATTACCTGATGTCTTGGGCGTCCGACGATGGAGGGGAAGACAGCTCTGGGAGCGTCGTCACCGGCGAAACCGGCCTTGCACATGCCGGAGCCATTGTCACAGACCAATGCAGCAACATCATCATCCATGGCTGTAGATAGTTGTGTGAGAAATGGGAAACAACTTGTGAGTCAACTGAAGACTGAAAGAGAATGCACTATCTATGTTAACATCCCGGCGTATTTTATACATCCCCCATCAGTAGGCGACCAATCAGATTGTGTTTGCGAATAATAGAAACGTAACGACTGTAATTGTAGTTAATGATAAATGTACCCTTCTTATGTATTATATTGCATAACAGCCTTTCCTTATGTACATGTGGAAGAATGTGTCACAGTCGGGGGTCATCTGCACCCGGCTCGATGACTCTTTTCACTCTAGAAGGATGTACCCCCGCTCTCCCAAGCAGGTAACGCCACGTGGTATATTGATGGAGAAAAGAAAACGCCCCTTGATTTATAACTACTAATGAGTATGTAAGCATGTGATGCTGGTTTGATTCAGAAAGTAAGTTAAATGCAATTTCCTGCCTTATTTACATACATTTAACAAAGTCTAAATTTAAAAGGAAACTTTTTTTTTAAAAGGTGTGACGTAATCAGTAAGACGACTTCATATGAAAGTCTGTGTTGCACAGATGTATTAGCCGGGTTGTATCAGGTTGTGAAATATTTGAGGTATTTATGTCAAAGTCAAAGTCAAAAGAAGTTTATTGTACAAAAGGCCTCCAGACCAGATGCAATAGAGAGTTATGCATATAAATCACCACAAGAAGGGACGGTGTTTCTCAAATTTATGCATGTTAAGAAATGAACGTGTCATCCGAAGTCCATATGACCAGCGTTTGAAATGTAATTATCATTTGGCCCCTAACTTTGCATTCATTACGCAGGTCATGGAAAACAGAGCATTCAAGTGACTATTAACACATATGACAGAGGTGTGTAACTATTGCCATTATTTACATATGTATTTTCTAACCTGTGAAATAATCGTTAATGCTGTTCAAAGATGACACATATTTCATTCTCTTTGAACTCCTGCATGACAAGGTTTAGATTTATCCTGTGAATCACACGCTCCTAAATGTTCGGTCATAGGTAAATGGAAGAATACCATATTGACAAAAAGTAGCAGTTTCATAACATGACTGCGTTATATTGCCAGCTGTGGCTCGTTAGTGTAGAGCAACCATGACAGTGGCGTTATGAGGTAATTCGTAATATATGGCGAGGAGATCTACTCTATCAGAGACCTTTGAAGTCTCCCAGTATTTGTTAACCCAGACTTCACCCACGCACTGCATTGAATTGATATCAGGTTTTAATTTAACAATAACTATAGGGAATATCATGTAAAGGTTATGAATATTACGTGAAACATTAAACATGCCACACGTGTGGGTAAACTCTCCCTCACGTTTATGTGCATGGGGATTATGTTGTGAACCTTGATATATAATCTAGTGACTTTTCTGTTGCGCCATGAACAAATATGTTTGTTTTAAGGAAATTATTCATATACGTATGTTTCCATAAACATACAAATATTCCTCGCTCATATATTCGCTTCCCTCAGAATATTAATCAGTTAAGTTCAGGGTTATGAATTATAAATTTTAGGTGCACAATTATTTTGTTTGAGACCTAGTTTGTGTTTTCAATTGAAATTCATAGTCTTGCACAATCTGCTGGATTTTTTTCCAGCCATTCCTCTAGATCACAATTAATAGCGTGCAATTGTCTTACATAGGTTCACCTTCAAACTCGGCTCTTTAAAAATAAAGAATACTATTCAACAGGATGTAGGCGAATGTATATAGTTCCGTTGACTATGGCATATAGGTGTTTTCTTCATAATGTTTCCTTTATTATTCAAGTTCATGTACCTAGTAGTTTGGCGTTCTTGTTGATTCATTCATGCTTCACTCGTCTTAGACAACGTTTTACTCTTATCCTCCATTGCTTGGGTCTTGCTTGCCTGCTTTGATGATTGACAATCGACTTTCCAGACTGAAGGATCAGCTAACCCAGGGTGTCAAGACACCACTCCAGTTCTTGGATGCTGTTGGTAAACTTCTGAAGATGGATTAAGGTTGTGTCAGTGTGACAACCTCGATGTGAACTGTGATATGAACTGTGATATTAACTTTAACTGAACTCAAAGTGGCGAATATGTTAAAACAATGGATTTAAGGAATGAATTAAAATGTTGAATGAAATAAAGTAAACGAGGGTATCAAGCATCTTGAGTCATTTCTTTCGTCTATAATAAGACAAGTCCATTTTCATGATAGGGGTTAATTACCCGATTAACATGTGCAACCAGGTATGACATTGTTGTTTTAAGGTGTCTCACAACTGGGCTGTCTTACGAATGGGAGGAGACCGCTTTGATCATTGTCGGGGCTAGTTATCTAGCTGGCTTCCATGTGCCCTTTGCTATTTCTATTCTTTTACCTCTCAGTGCTATTTCTATTCTTTTACCTCTCAGTGCTATTTATCCCCGGCCTCCCGTTTACCTCTCAGTGCTATTTATCCCCGGCCTCCCGTTTACCTCTCAGTGCTATTTCTATTTCGTTTACCTCTCAGTGCTATTTACCCCCGGCCTCGTGTTTACCTCTCAGTGCTATTTATCCCCGGCCTCCCGTTTACCTCTCAGTGCTATTTCTATTCTTTTACCTCTCAGTGCTATTTCTATTCTTTTACCTCTCAGTGCTATTTATCCCCGGCCTCCCGTTTACCTCTCAGTGCTATTTATCCCCGGCCTCCCGTTTACCTCTCAGTGCTATTTATCCCCGGCCTCCCGTTTACCTCTCAGTGCTATTTATCCCCGGCCTCCCGTTTACCTCTCAGTGCTATTTACCCCCGGCCTCCCGTTTACCTCTCAGTGCTATTTATCCCCGGCCTCCCGTTTACCTCTCAGTGCTATTTCTATTCTTTTACCTCTCAGTGCTATTTCTATTCTTTTACCTCTCAGTGCTATTTATCCCCGGCCTCCCGTTTACCTCTCAGTGCTATTTATCCCCGGCCTCCCGTTTACCTCTCAGTGCTATTTCTATTTCGTTTACCTCTCAGTGCTATTTACCCCCGGCCTCGTGTTTACCTCTCAGTGCTATTTATCCCCGGCCTCCCGTTTACCTCTCAGTGCTATTTCTATTCTTTTACCTCTCAGTGCTATTTCTATTCTTTTACCTCTCAGTGCTATTTATCCCCGGCCTCCCGTTTACCTCTCAGTGCTATTTATCCCCGGCCTCCCGTTTACCTCTCAGTGCTATTTCTATTTCGTTTACCTCTCAGTGCTATTTACCCCCGGCCTCGTGTTTACCTCTCAGTGCTATTTATCCCCGGCCTCCCGTTTACCTCTCAGTGCTATTTATCCCCGGCCTCCCGTTTACCTCTCAGTGCTATTTATCCCCGGCCTCCCGTTTACCTCTCAGTGCTATTTATCCCCGGCCTCCCGTTTACCTCTCAGTGCTATTTATCCCCGGCCTCCCGTTTACCTCTCAGTGCTATTTATCCCCGGCCTCCCGTTTACCTCTCAGTGCTATTTACCCCCGGCCTCCCGTTTACCTCTCAGTGCTATTTATCCCCGGCCTCCCGTTTACCTCTCAGTGCTATTTCTATTCTTTTACCTCTCAGTGCTATTTCTATTCTTTTACCTCTCAGTGCTATTTATCCCCGGCCTCCCGTTTACCTCTCAGTGCTATTTATCCCCGGCCTCCCGTTTACCTCTCAGCGCTATTTCTATTTCGTTTACCTCTCAGTGCTATTTACCCCCGGCCTCCCGTTTACCTCTCAGTGCTATTTATCCCCGGCCTCCCGTTTACCTCTCAGTGCTATTTCTATTCTTTTACCTCTCAGTGCTATTTCTATTCTTTTACCTCTCAGTGCTATTTATCCCCGGCCTCCCGTTTACCTCTCAGTGCTATTTATCCCCGGCCTCCCGTTTACCTCTCAGTGCTATTTCTATTTCGTTTACCTCTCAGTGCTATTTACCCCCGGCCTCGTGTTTACCTCTCAGTGCTATTTATCCCCGGCCTCCCGTTTACCTCTCAGTGCTATTTATCCCCGGCCTCCCGTTTACCTCTCAGTGCTATTTACCCCCGGCCTCCCGTTTACCTCTCAGTGCTATTTATCCCCGGCCTCCCGTTTACCTCTCAGTGCTATTTATCCCCGGCCTCCCGTTTACCTCTCAGTGCTATTTATCCCCGGCCTCCCGTTTACCTCTCAGTGCTATTTATCCCCGGCCTCCCGTTTACCTCTCAGTGCTATTTACCCCCGGCCTCCCGTTTACCTCTCAGTGCTATTTATCCCCGGCCTCCCGTTTACCTCTCAGTGCTATTTATCCCCGGCCTCCCGTTTACCTCTCAGTGCTATTGATCCCCGGCCTCCCGTTTACCTCTCAGTGCTATTTATCCCCGGCCTCCCGTTTACCTCTCAGTGCTATTGATCCCCGGCCTCCCGTTTACCTCTCAGTGCTTTTTACCCCCGGCCTCCCGT